CCCCGCCCAGGGCATGGCGGCTTGTCAGCCAGGTCTCAAGCCAGGGAGGACTGCGAGGGGCTTTCGCTTTCTTTCTTTTGCTTCCAGCCAACCCCTACTGGCCTGTGGCTCTGCAACCGGGAGGGCATACGGCCGGTGCTGGGTCCCCTCACTTCCATGCTCCCTTTAAGCCAAGTGAACCAGAGCTACTCAGCTGAACTGTGAAACTCCTTTCCAAGCTGGGATAATGACATGCTGCACCATGACAGCAGCCACGGTGATGGCCCTCCCCAATGCTGGCAAATCAAAACCGTTGGTGAAAGACTCCTTCCCCCAGACTCGGGGAGACCAACGATTGTGTCCCTAGGGCATGGTGGCTTATGTGACACTGGTGTGTGACTCAATGTGTCTGCTTAGGTCCTCAGGCTCCATAGATAGTCTTCTCCTACCTCCCCTCCCCTCCTCTCTCCTTCCTTCCTCTCTTCTCCTCCTCTCCCCTCTCCTCTCCCCTCCATTTTCTTCTGCTAAAGGGCACTGATGCTCACCAGAGAGAGAGAGACAGAGAGGAATAAGGAGCAATCACCCCCCAGGGGGATGGCCACACTGTGACCCCTTCTCCTCCATTCCCCTCTCGGGATTTTGGGTACTCATGCACACACACTGTTATATTTCCCAAACTGCCAGGTCTGGGACCTGATCCCATGCTCGGCCATGTGAAATCCGGCCCCCTAACCACTACGCCATCTGGCTGGCCCGTAAGTGAGTTTCGAACGAACTGGTTAACAGACTGCAGCTCCTGGGAGCCGTGCCTCGGCCCTGCAGGCTCCCCGTGTGGAAGAACCCCCAGCTGGCGGGAGTACCACCAGCGCTCACAACAGCAGCAGCACCGCCGGCAGGATGACCACGGGGCTGCTCACGTAGCCGACCACGGAGCCGAACCACACGGGGAAGTCGCTCGCCACCGTCTCCGACACGATGTCATACATTTTCTGTTGTCCGCTGCGAGAAACAGAAACAGAACTCCGGGTTTCGTTGCTTTTCACACCAGGATGCTGTGAGACCTTAAACAGGAACAACGCCTGGATGCCCAGAGGCCAGCGCCGTCAGTGACAGAGCCAGAGGCACACCCCCGCAGGTGACAGGCACGCCAGTCCTGAGGTGGCCGCACGTGAAGTGTCACCTCATCGACACACAGGACGGGAAGGTGGCTTCGGTCATTGCAGTGCGCCTGGGTGTGCCTTAATAGTGAACACAAAGGTAGAGGCTACAGCATCGTGGCCTGGTGGTTAGGGCCGCCAGACCCCACACAGATAACAAGGTGGTTCAAGTCCCAGAACTGGAGGCTTAAAAAATATGCCGGGCATGGACACATCCATGCCCGAAATTCTGAAAGGAGGGAGAGACGGAGGAGAAGGGACTGTGGCGTGGCTATGTCCCAGGAGACACTTTCTCTTCTTTCTGGTAAACACATATAACCCTCTAGCTAAAAAGAAAAAAAAAAAAAAAAAAGAAGACGACGCCTTTAAATGTTCACCATGTG